GGCCGGTGGGTTGTGTAACACGCGTGTCCTGCCCCGGCGGTGGAATGATGCTGATTCCAGCTCTTACTTGAAGAAAGTGAGGGGTTTAGGTTTGGCTTTATGGAGCAGAATCCGTCGGAGACGGTGCTTTTAAGCCTGCAGCGTCCCCAGGTTCGGTTTGCTCGGCATCCGGAATGAGCGGCCAAAGCGCCCGTAGGCGCATGCCTGGACTCTGCCCTGCGTCCCCGCCGAAAGCCTTTGCCCCGGCTGCCGGGTTATGCGAAACTTAAGGGGAGAGTAGGTTTTTATAGCTGTTTGTGAGAATGGCAAAAAGTGTCAGAGCCTCATAGGTCCCCTCCCGAGGCCGAGAAACAAAGGTCACGCGAGGGAGGAGAGTTCTGCGGGACGGTGCCGGCTCCTGCCAGGCTCGGCTGCCCTGAGCGCTGTCCCTGGGCTCGCAGGGGAGGTTACAGGGTGAGGACTTCTCCCTCTGCTCCAGGGGGAGAGGTTGTTTTTAGTTTGAAGGTGACTCGGGAGAGTGTTATCTGGTCTTGTCGGCCTTCGCCACCCTCCAGCTTGATGAAATGCCGCGCCCCGGAGGACTGGCCAGCTCAGCCAGCGAAGAGCCTCTTGTTGCTGCGAGCTGCGTCACCTTCCAGCCCATCGCCCTTCGGAAAACGTTTGGGTAGCTCCCATCGATCCTGGCGGGTTGACGCTGGTTGCGCTCCCGTTTCCCAGCGTTCCGGCTTGCCTGCTTTGCGCTGGGAGGCGAGGGAATGTTAATCCCATGTGAATGCGAATGGTACTTGCTGTTGTTACTGCTTGCTGAAGCTTTTTGGCCTGTCTGAACTGCATTAAATGCCCTCTAACTCAGAGCAAATAACCTTGCAACGGCTTATTTTGTCAGCACGCAGTAATCACCTTGTAGCTGTAAAAAAACCAAACCCTTGATCTTTCCTAGCTCCCGTTTTGAACCGGGGCGTAGTTGAAACGGGACAGGCTCCTACAAGTGCTGTAGTCAGCTCCCTGACTCCTCAAAATGAGGTGGGTTGAGAGCCTTTAATCGCAGGCCTGTGGTGTGAAAACCCCGTTTGGCCCGCAGGTCCGTTGTTGGAGGCGTGAAACTCCGTGTATGAGAGTTGGTCATCCCCCTCGTACGGCTTTTGGAGCCCCATCCCCTCCCACTGTGTTAAAACCAGTTCTGGATCCTCACTCTGGTACAGGTAGTCACCCACAGTTGCTTGGAAACCCCAAAATGCTCATAGAGGGGGTGCAGAACAGGGCATTTCGGCATGAAACAGCAGGTTTTTAGCCCCTGTTTTAGGGTACCTCAGCTCTCCGTGTCAGCCCTCTCCTGGAAGCGGCCTGGTCTCAGATACGTGTCAGGTCCCTCCTTCCTTGTCCAGCCATGCTTATTTTCCCAGACTTTCAAAGCTTTAGTAGGTAAAACTAATTTTTCCTTTGAGGAATGCGGAATGGGTTTATTTAGGACTCAAACTTACCCTGCAGACCCGTGTTTTTCTTGAGTTTGGGCGAATATGGTTTTGCAATACCGATTTTGTTCCTCCGCTGACCCAAAACCAAACGGTCCCAGGATTTCCTACTGAGACATCTCCGGGCATTCGGAACCCAAAAACCACTCGCTCCCGAACCCACCTCCCTTGTGCCTCTACGTCACGGCGTGTGTGTGCGGGGGGTCGTCTGTGATCCTGCACTTGAAGCGCTTAATAACCGGGTCAGTCGGCTCCTGGGATGCCGTGTCGGTGCGGGGGACGCCGCGCGAGCCGGCCGTCGGCACGTCCAAAGTGCTGCGGCGCAGGAAGGACGTGTCGCAAGTGTTAACTGGTTCTTCTTAAATCTGACTCAGGTTGAGTCACGGCAGTAGAGCGGCCAAAGCGGCGGTGCCTTTTCCCGGAGCGGTGCCTTTCCCAAAGCAGCGTTGCTAGAGCCGCCCTTCCTGCCCTTCCAGGAACGGCTCCCGGGGGGCCCTGCCCTTCTCCCGCTGCCTGCGGTGACTCCCATGGCCACCTGCACCTGGGGACCACTGGTCCCCATGGCCGCCCTGCGCCTGGCTGGTAGCCCAGAGATGTTTTCCGGTGCCTGAGGGGACCGACCTTTGGACTGTGTTTTGGAAAGCTGAACCCCCTCCTCCCGCTGCAGGGGCAGGTCGCAAACTGCCGTCGTCCCAGCCTACAGCGGCTTTTCGGGCTTTTACCCTGCCTATCCCTGCATCAGCTCTGCAACATTCCCTTCTCCCGGATGGAAACCCCGATGACCGCCCTCGCCGCGCGTTTGCTCGCCTGCCTTCTTGCAGGCTGCGGGACGTTCCTCCCCTAAGAACAAGTTGTCTCGGTGGTGTGTT